AGGCGTGGCCCAACAATTGCTTGCTCACGCCACTGTTGGCAGGAGGGCCAAGACGAAGGGAGCCCTCGAGAGCCCCTCTAGAGGGTATTTGGCCTACTCTTCATTGCTGGTCAAACATCGAGAAAGATCTAGGAATACCCACAATTCACCCCACCATATGCACCCTGCCAATAGATTAACTGTGATGTACCCATTTACACTGCTCAGTGTATAGAGGTTGGGGGGGCAGGATTTGAGAAACTTGCACCATTGTTTCAAATGGGCGAGACCGGTGTGCCAAGCATCACAGCACGGCAACATCCCCTTAAATAAGCACCCTCCCTACGAATAATTGAACAAGCACTGTGGCATATAACAAACAAATAAAACCACCTAAATATTATATTTGTTCATTGCACTAGATCGCATTGCTGAGTTGCATCGGAGCCCCATTAATTAATCATCCTAAAGCAGAGAGCTCCGGGCGTATGGGGGGGGGGGGGGACCGCGCAAGGGTGCATCCACTTTATTTTACAAGGAGAGATCACTTCACGTCCCGACTGGCTGCTCCGCCTCGTATGACCGATGCCCTGGGCCTTCGCAGGGTGAGTGCTGCACGGCGAATGCCAGCCAGCAGCCAACACACAACTGAATAGTGCATCGTGTACAGCTCGTCGAGATGAGTCGATTGCCGCATCGCAGACCATCAACAGACGAAAAGTTACTGCATCACGGACGTTATGCGACTTCCGGGGTATTATGGTACCCCGGGGTAACCCGCCATCAGGTTCAGATGTTGACGGGAGGCACGACACGGCCGCGGTATGGTTTTGCTGCGCACATACCATACTCGTGCGCAGTGGCGATGGTGTTTTCTCACTGCTGCAAGCTCAGTGGGCCCAAGTTGGATTCCCAGCTGTGCACAGTAGCGATGGAAAGCGATATCTGAACCTGTACTTGATCTCCCAAAGGTCAACGTGGTCTTGAATGATGCAAAGGTGGCCAGGGGTTGGTGCTCGTGGAAGACGTACCCACTCGCTCGTGTACAATGTTGGCCATAATGGTTGCTCGCAGATAGCACGCGCCTCTGTAGTCTGCGAGACTCACGAGGGGACCATTGTAATTTAGTTTGTATGTGCTGTTTAGTCCTTGCTTTCCATTTTGAGCACAATTTCCGGATTTATTAATGATTTTAATCGGTGTATATATGGATCCGTTGCACCCCTACTTAAAAGGCAGAATTTGAAATGACCTTGGTGGTAACCTATGTTCAGCTTGTGGTTGTGCACGTGCTGCAATGTGCTTGTATGTAAGCAGCAGAAACTATATATTTAGTGTCTGGCTCTCAGACGTTCGTTGGTGCCCCGGCATGTAAATCCTTGTGTACACGAGTGCAATTTGGTGCCACGGTGGACGCAAATCTTTTAATTTGATGATGTGAACGATAGGAAAGAGCCAACAGCTATTAATCATTGCCACATGCACAATCCTCACCCCCAGGGTCAGCTGTAGCCAGGAATAATTTGAAGCGCATTAATGCGGTGAACGGCGCACGAGGATATTAAATAGATAACGGGCACCTTAACGTATTAATTTTCCTGCAAGAAATTGCCAGTGCTTTGAGGACTGAGTGACTCGTGCACTGTGATTTGCCCTCAAAGCTCTTTGCTTTCTGCTTGAATAGTTTGTTGTAAAAAAAGTGTTGGGCTATGCTCTGCCACTTGGCTTCAGCTGGGTGTTGTAATGCCCAAGTGACTTAACTTTGAAAGCCAGGAAGTGGCTGGGTGGTCATGGAGTCTGGGACCGATGTCAGAGCACCACGCCAGCATCGCTAAGTAGGCATGGAACAATTCACCGCACCACCCTCCTCCACACCCCCATAGATTTAGTAAATGCCTCGATTTGGGGGTCGCGATTTGATTTAGTAATGGGTATTTTTTTTCATCTTGATTTTACTTGGCATGCAATGAGCGATCCGCCCAAGCGATCAGTTGAAATACAAAGATTTGGATTCCGTGTCAATCCGAGAGTTGTTTCCTGTTTGTATAATTTTTACCGTCTCATTTTTAACATCTCATTTGTATTGTTTGTGTGTACATATTATTAGAAATTTTGATCACTCCTTAAACCTAAGCATAACGTAGCATACAATAATTTATAAATCTCATATAATCTTCTTACATTCACAATTCGATGAGTGAAATTTGATTGTAAGGATCAATGTTGATTGTTTAACCAATGCATCGTTACAATGCCTACTGCTGTAAAATAACCCAGGTTTGCCTCCCGAGATTACACGGTGCTTTTAGTTGTTGTAAGACTGATCTCATCCCGGCCAGCAATACAAGATAAAAAAAACGTTTTGCCCATTTGTGTAACTATGTGGCCCATTTTGGTTTCCTTTGGCCAATGGTGGAGATATTCATTTCTTTGGTCGTGGTTCGTCTCTCCGTAGGACAACTGTCGGTTTCACCGAGCATAAACCATGATGATGATGAATGTATTTAATATCTGACTATAAAACTGTGTGGCTCTTGATAGAGCAATACTCTCTTTTAATCCTGAAACATGGTGGGAGGAAAAACATTCCAAACATTTAAAAGTTGTCAAAAAAACTTTGATTTCGAATTGGGAAATATGCTTCATATATTCGATTTGCCATATTTTACGTTTGTAAATGCGATACCAACAAACAGCAGTAATGTGTGCACTAAGTAATCGTAGCCCAGCCTCGAGTGGCAAGGCTGGTTGGTTTTGGTCAAGTGAGTGGCTTGCAAAACTGCAGTCTGCATTCTAATTTTAAGCAATGTAAATTAATATTGTCAGCACATTTGTTTTAATTTATGCCCCTAGAAGTTGCTTTGCCTTCCACGTCGTGCATAAGGATGGGTTGCTCAATGAGGCTTAAGAAACCCTTTGATATCTGATTCTCCAGAATAATACATTATTTGCTTCATTGTACAGTAATTTAGAGCACTTTATCATTGTTATCATTGCTCTCCTCATCATCACTGTCCTAATAAGATTAGTCAATGAAAAAAGGGAATTTATATTTTCAATACTGAACAGACCCTCATCACCAGCATCATCTTTGCTAATACTCTGTTGTTATATAAACACATTGTTGGCTATGTATAGACAGTATGTGGCAAGTGTATCTTTGCACACATTCAACTGGGTCCATTTGTGTCTGTACCATTTGTGTTTTTTTAAGTCTTGCGCCGATAAAACAAACATTAGCAAGGGAATCAAACTTCATCACCAAAAGACTCAAATTACATCACTTTTGGGGACATTGGCTAGACCATGTTGGCACTCCATCCCATTTGTCTTCAATTTCCTGCAATTGCTGCTTGGGAAGTGTCAATTTCCTCCTATTCATTTTAAAGGGTTATTTTAATTTTGATGTAATCTAAAGTTACATTTTGTTTTTTCCCTGATGTCATTTTTTACAGTAATTCTCATTTTAACGGTTTAACATTTTTTTGTAAGCATACGAGATATGTTATCGTGCAGTTGTTAGCAATAGCTGAGGTTGGTGTAGGAGTCTCGCTGGAGATTGTACCCATGTGCATTGATTTATTTATCTGTTTTACTCTCAGACCCACGTAGAAACATGTTAGCCAAACTTTTAAGCAAGATCATCCTAAGTCTTATCTATAATTAGTCGCTTTTCTGAGTAAAAACAAATAACGTATCCTTTACATTAATGAATATCAACAATTTTTTGCTCGCGTTGCATATATTCGTGGTAAATCAAAGGAGACATACCCTTCTTCCGCTGTTGAAAATGCCCTTTATGGTCACGTGGGGGACGCACATCAATGCGGCTGTTGTCACACAACGTGGCCTACACATTTACTTCGTTTATACATGAAAAAAATATGGAGAATAGGATGAATTTTGCCACGAGAAATCTGTTATGCATATGATTTACAGATAATAGTAGTGATATTTCTCTGCAGTAAAATTTAATGAAAAAACAAACACGACTTAAACCCCACGGATATATCACGGATAATAGGATTTTGTATGCAATTCCACTTATCCACGGTAATATAACGGTTAGTATTGCAGGGTGTAAAACTGTGCGTGTAATCACGGATACTTGTAAGAACATGGGCGCAGATAATTGGAGTTTTTGCTAACCCTCTAGGTCCCGTGGATAATCGGAGACGCGGATGATATGGTCGTGGGTAAGACAAGTTCTAGTTCACTAGCACATGTAATGTCATCTTGTGTAGGTCTCAGTCTTAAAGGTCAGAAACCAAGGGAAAGATCTACAGCCAGATGTTGGTATGATGCATGATAAGACCTTGGGGGTCGTGTGAATATGCAACAGTCCATGAGGTCTGACGGAAGTGATAATGAAGTGTGGCAGATTCAACAACATTGGCTGTGCCTACATTTATGAGCTCAGTGAAATGTATATGTTGATATGGAAATAACATCAGTGACGTTGCAGCTACATTACATTTATGTTGTGTTTTTTTTTCTGTACAGATTCAATAACTGTGATCGCAGAAATAGAATTTTGTTTACATGAGATTAGGGCCTGTGTACAGCCTGTAATGGATGCCTCATTTCATAATTTGATCAATTTGCATTATTGACGGACACGGGCCTCTCTAGGCTTTCAGAAGTAAATAAATATACACACGTACACACGCAGACGATGTCATCGATTGCATCTGCGTTTGTGCGAATTCACACGCTCATCAATCGCAGTGCATCAGCCAGGGCCCCCTGTGGGATAGGTCGACAATTATTACAAATTTCAGCAGAGTGGTTGTGGGCACAAAGCCAAATGTCATGGGTGGTTGCAACATTGCATTTTAACCGCTTTTAAATGAGATTACAACCGGCCCAGTGCTGGAAGATTGTCTACAGGAAATATCATGTGGCACACGCATATCTCTTCGTCGTTATTTACTTTAAATGCGTGTGCATGTGTCTTTGTCATTTTTTTGTGTTGGCGGAGCGGTAGTGTCGTGGTTCGCACGCTGCGTTACGAACCTGGTGACCCGAATTCTATTCCCACTCACGGCTAACATCGGTGACGAATATCTGAACTGCTCCTGGACCTCCCCTCAGTCGACTTTGCCTTAAATAAGTTCCTGGTGTATGATAACATCAGCACCGGGAAGACAAAGGCGGCTGGGGCATGGTGCTGGCCACCCACCCCTGAATGTGCCGTGCTGACCGTCGGAGGTGTTCGCTAACAGCATTTGCCCCAACAGTCTGTTAAGGCTACATGGGGGATCTTTGTTTTTGTGTAGTTCAGTGGTCAGCCCTTGCTATGAAATTGACAACTTGAGTTTGATTCCCCACCATGGACACTGTCATTGGAAAGTCGTATCTGAACATGTCCTGAGCCCTCCGTAGGTCTACACAGTTGAAATCACTACTTGGTGTTACGTGCAAACATCAGCACTGGGGAGACGAAGATTGTGAGGTGTGGTGCTGGCCACATCACCTCCTCGCGTTCTGTACCAGCCTCAATATGACTTCTGTGCCAATCCGGCCAAAACAGAATTTGCCTCCATAGTCTGCAAGGATGTCGAGAGGTTGTTGTCTTTTGTGTGCATGGAGTGTGGGTCATACTGGAAATACAGCTTCCTTTCCTGGGAATGAACAACGCTAGTGGGAAGTCGTGTACCCATTAGGCTTGCAACAAATCACCAACTTTCTTCCAAAGCGATTGAATTAATTGTCACAACACAATTCAATCATCGGCCATCCAATGTGCATCGTTTTTTTATTAATCTGTCTTGTATGTACATTTTTGTTTATCTGTGAGTCTAAATTAAATAATTTCCTACAATGTGCATGAATAACAAATCATTGATTCTCACGAGCACGATACTATTTATGCGTTATGAGCTTAATGATTGCTTTAATCTATGAATGAATACATTGTTACATGCCGATATGCCTAGGCATTTATTTATGCCCAAACTATCGCCATAACTGTCAAGGCATAGTGAGGCCTTAATCTAAAAGTATATTGACATTATTAAATTACATCTACCATATAAAAACATATTTTTGCAAGCTGTTTTACTTGACTACTCAACCTATTTGCCATTAAAAAATAAATCCATGGAAAAGCAGTAAATGCTAACTTAAGATCTTTTTGAGGCTGAGACTGGGACTCAAAAGTCTCTGTTTTGAGTGTAAAAGTAATAGATCGCTTGAGATGCACATTACGTGTGACGCGCTAATCTGCTGCCTGTATTTGAAGACATGCCTCTCTTCCCGCATCACACAAAAGACCAAGGTGGTGTGGAGGGTTTGTTTTGCATCCTGATATTCCAACATCTCTACTCTGGTAAGAGTAAGATGTGCTCCAGTGATTAGAAAAGGTCGGCGCCTAACACGACAGTTTAATTTGGAATCGCTCATGAGTAGGCCTAAAATCATGTTGTGGTTTCACCTAAAATCACAAAACCAGCATCATTCAGTTCCTGACAAAATATAGATTTGGAATGAAAATGTAGAGTAATACAATTGATTTAGTTTTCATGACATTCTAGTGTAATTGTTTTGTTTTAGGTATGTCAAATCGAATTGAATAATAACAGACCATAAACAAATTGATGCAAAACAAGTCACGTTGTTATAAATAGGTTTTTTGTTTGGCTGCAATCGTGTTATGGAATGGCACGACGAAGAATATCAATCCGATAAATGAATCGAATGAATGCTTTTCAGCAAAATGGGTAAGTTTGACCGGTGCGGATGTTTTTTTTGGTATATTTACACAAATGACCTTGTTTTAGTTACTTTAGGTGAGCCGGTTCTTGCACAGGTTGCACACAACGATGTTTCACCCACAGCTGCCCGCTGATTTGGCCACTCTCAATGATGCAGGCTCCGATCTGCTGCGACAATTGAGAGCGCACGATCGTCCAGACGATTGTCACGCGTGTATCCAGCCCTGATGAATGACACACGTGACAAGTTCGCCAAGCTGCGTGACAGACTCGGTCCAGTTTTTTAGCATCGAGTTTCAATTTTGACAGAGATGCGGAAAGGGACGGGGTAGGATGCGGGTGAAACAGGAAATCGGTCTGTGCGGAACACCGGTGGGAATTATGCTGGAGATAAACGAGCGCGTCAACGTTCACTTTCGATTGAAGGCGCTGCTCCATATTGTACTGCTGCGATCAACAATCATGAGGGAGTGGCAGCCAATGGAATGCGTCCAAGAATCGCGTCCATCGAGGAGATGGAGCGATGAAATTGGCTCGCGTGCGGGTCCGAGGTGATCTATGCCGCAGGATAGGTGAGAAACGGTGACAGTGTTGGGGCAATGCCTTCATCCAGCAGTGGATCAATCGTGGCTGACGACGACGATGGAATGCTCTGAGTGTGGAAGTCACACACTCAGTATTGTGCTCATTTGACATCGCCGAGACAGCGGTGCTTTGCCAGGCGGCCTTTAGCGTGGCCCGCGTGCGGTCACGCTCCCCAGTTTCTGCCTTTCCCTACCCGGCACATTCGGCCGCACCCCCCAGAGCCGCACAACGTCTCCCGTTCCCCGGGCCACATCCCCCTGCAGCTGCATCCCCCACACTACTCCGTCCCTCGCCAACCAACCCCTCCCCCTACCAACCCCCATCCCTCTTCGCTTGACGATAATCAGCGGCGGCAGATGGGGAGGGGATTCAGATTCATGGGTTGCCTCGTATTCATACGCTCTGATAATACGGAGCCCGCGGATGCTGCTCTCTGTAGCCCGTTACATTAATCTGCAGCTGGGAAGGCAGGAAGACAGCGACGGGGAGGGAGGGAGGAGAGACAGACGCGGGGGTGGGGGGGGGGGGACCCTCCCCCCTACACCCTTTCCAAAAAACCAGAAAGCAGCCAGCCTGTAGCTCCACACGAAGGAGGATCGATTGCCCCAGTTGTGCCTCCTCCACACTGGGTCCGATCTCCACCTCTCGGGTGCATCGAGCAGAGGGCGTGAATGGGGGACCAGCGTCGTACGTAGGCTACTGCCCCTTGCCGGACCCCCGCTGGATTGTGTTTCGCTTTGCGCTCCTCGGCTTCCTGGGAATGGTATTTTCCGAAATGAATCGCGGGACTTCTCCCATCAAGATCCACCTGCCCAACGGGACATGCTTTTTCACGTACCAGGTACGGTGCCGCGGGCGCGTTGATGTGCATCGAGACCCCCCCCCCCCACCACCTACTATCTCTGCACAACACATGGCATTGTGTTTGTGTCTCTTGCTGACCGGGTACCATTGGAAATGCTCCTGAAGAAATTGGGTAGGAGTTAATTCGGATGCATTGTATGCAATGACAAGGTGCTGCTATATTTATGATGAGGAGGGGTCAGATTTGTAATTAAAAGCTGCACATTACAGTTTGTATTGTTTTAGGAATAGCAAGTGATAAGCTCTTTGGCCTGGTCAATTTTTATTGCACGATGTCAATTCATCACCCAGTTTTGGTCCTTCGATATCGATGCACAAACCCAAATACACACACATAATGATCCAATGGTTGTTTTAATTTGTTCTCACAAATTCCATGGTTCTATACCGGGGTTTAAAACCATTCAGTGTATTGGTGGAGTACAATGTGTGTTTTTGGATGGACTGCATTTGTGTTTGTTGTTGATGCGTAATTTTTTTTTAAGCCAATGGAAATCGCCAACATTCAGTGTCCAGAATGGGGTCATATACATTTATTTGTGTAGGCACCTGTGATTTTAATCGGTAAAGTGACCCAATATGCCACCGTGTTGAAAAGCAGGCAGATTGGCACGCTTGTAATTCGATCATAAATAATAACCACGGCTTCTTTAAAACGAATCGTGGTCTGCGGTTGGGGACATCCATTCCGTTTCTTTCCTCTCTCAGTCCCTTTCCTCCCCCTGCAAATTACTTCTTTGTTAAATACTCTCATTGAGTGTTTAATTTGTAAGTGGCATGGGGGATGTTTTAAACGGGGGAGATTAATGATGGGAAACATGACGTGCGTTTCTCTGCGAGCTTTTGGTTAATGATTATTAGTTGCACGAGTGAAAGAGCAAACACATTTTACCTCTGTTTTCTCATCAATTTTATAACTTTTCAACGTTTTACAGGGCAAAATTATATTTATTGGCTCCAGGGAATTTGGGGAAAACATCCATCATGCATTTTGTTTATACGAAATATTGTTTTTGTTTAATAAAAAATACTATAATAATACAAACATAACTATTCTAGTTAAATATGGATATCCAACTGGTAACTTGAGTATTGCCAAACATTTTCTTGCAATTTTCATGGAAATGTTTTGGTGCTTACTTTGACATCGAGGTTGAAAGTTGGTAGAGTGTGCAGAATTAGCAATGAATGCATTTCCAAGCCATTGCTTCACTCATATCACTATTAAATATCCACAAGGGAAACCTTCATTTGGCGTGGCCAGGGTTTGCTTCTCATGTACAATGAAAGCATTTTGATCTGGATGTCAAGTTGAGTTTCCTAGCCGATTTCAAGTCACTTTGCGGGTCTATTGATCAAGTCATTTAGGGGATAAACCATCTGATAAAGAAACGTATTGGAGATGTACATCTCTTTAGATTCAGATGCGTTCCGAGTCTCTACGAAGCCAAATTCTACCGTATTATTTTTGGTTGGGGTACAATAAGAGATGTTGAATAGATCCATTGAAACCATTTATGTTGAAAGAAATCCACGCTGTGTTTACGTGGCGCTATAACTACCTAGAAGTGCATGTGCTGTTCACACATGTTAAAATGTCATCATCATGTTGTCAAACGCGTTGCTTTAAGCTCGGTACAGTTTACGAGTGCACGCTTACGTGCTCGCACGCATGCACGCGAAAATGCGCGCGTTCGCCTGCTTTTAGTGCAATTTAAAAAGCGCCCGCTTGCCATTCACACTGAAAGCATTCCCATCAAGGAAGACGCGTGAGCTGTTGCACGCATTACACATCCCGCGGCTTTAGTGGCTAGGCGCCGAGACACGCACGGTACCGTATGTTGGTGGGAAGTGCCGTGTATCCTGTGGGACCCTGCCCTCATCTCCCTCCTGCAGAGCAACTCCCGTCTTCCCTTGCTTTGTCATGGACCCCTGCGAAGGGAGTACTGGACATTAAGACTCCTAACACCCACCGAGAACAAAAGATGCCTATGACTTTGCAATTGACTTCCCACCCCACTTCCCACCCCATTGTTAAAATGTTAATAGTAGCTTCACGATTTGATGCACGTGGTCGTGAGCTTTAGAATTGTTATCGAGCTGGGAACCGATACATCGATTACACCCCTGCTGTAAATCTTAATGCAGCCATGGCATGGGCGAAGGTGTTGACTACATATTTGCAGTAGACCCCGAACGATGATTATGTTGTAAGACCGCAACGTCTAAGCATCGCATTGGAACTCAAGTCTTAAACATTTCATGTATAAATTACAGGGGCTAACCCGAAGAAGGGCCCAGTGTTGTGTTGAGCAGAAGTGAATTGACGAATGAGGTGAACATTAAAAAAAACAACCTTTGTGCACAATGAATGAGATGGTGTGCGACTATGTGCAGACAACGAGGCTGGCCTCTTTCACGGCAGTGAATTTTGTCATTCAGTACAAGTTTGCGACTTGAGTTTTCTCTGTACAAAACCCGCAAACGATCGTTGAAGTCGACGCTACAAAAAAATTAATGTTGCATAACGAAAACTGTAGAAATGCCTTAAGCACGGTCGGCTATGTGCGGTGCGAAAGAAGTCCAACATACGTTTACATGAATGCAGAGTTCATGGCCCCGTGGTTTTTTCTCGTGCAAACTGCCTGCGAGAGAGCAACTCCCACGATTCGTAGAGCATATCACAAGTGAGCAAATCGTAATTTGGTAAACTATTTCGCCTGATAGAGCTGGTCTGTCAGGTTCTCAGATTACATCGAATATGATCATATATAGCTTTGTTGTGCAGAAATGTGTTTTTATTTTCTCAGTACTCTCTCTCTCTCTCGTGAGTATAATAAAATATGAATATTCGTCAAAAAGCTTTGGATATGTAATTGGAATACATCTCTGCAGAGTTGAATTCACCCCAACGCAGCTTTTGCCGCCGATTAATCCCGTGCAATAACAAAGAGAATGCACCCTTTGTCGATGTAATGGGAGACATTTTGCGTTTCCATGAACGCGCAACGTCCAAGATTGTGGCGTCGGGGACATGATCATCCGCAGCTCCACGCCGCGTGGGAGCTGCCGTTTACAATGCTGTCGTGGGCGTGGATTGGGTCATGGTCCCTTCGACGTAGTATTTTTAGGAAATCCGATACATCTCGCCAATTTTCTTAAAGTAAGTGACAGCTTGTCAGGCAACATGCTGCTCGCGATTGTGCTCCGTTGCACATACCACACCTGGCGCTTGTTAAATGCACTTTTCGGATACCTGTATGCGTGTAAAATTGTAAATACTACAAACTAAAGCAACGTCGACCCCACAACGGTATATAAAATGTCGCAGAGTGATGCGTTTTCAGTGCATCCGTGGTACACAGCTCAGCCGTGCCTGCATTTTTTGTGCACTGTGTTGCATTGCTTATTTCATCATGACCCACATCAACTGAACCACAGTAATTTTCGTGCCTTCGTAGTTTTCGCTGCGATTGAAGTTAAATTTGAAGTCGTAAGATACCGCAGTTACCTCGAGGAGAGGACTTGACACCTATTTGACCTTTTTATCGCCCAATCCGACGTCACCCCTCACGGCAAAGCTTTCCTCGCCAGCGTAATATTCATAAAGCGTCTGTACTGCGTTCGATGTACAAATAAAACCCATAAAAAAACAGGCGCAACTTTCACAAAATATGAACGTTGACAAAATGCGCGTCCCGTCTTTCAGATTCAAATGGTCGTCATGGCCGACGTTGTTCACCACCTTCCTAATCTATGCCAGATCCAATCTCCAATGGTCATTCTCCAGGGTTTTCACCGGCGAGCTGTCGGGCTTGATTGCTGACCTCTGGGTGCCAGGTCAATGCCCTTCTCGGGAATCGCCTTCATCCAATCGGCACGCGTGCCCCGACCAACTTTAACCTCCTGTTCTTGATTACATCTGAATAATTTTGTTGCCACGTTTTTTTTTTACTTCAAAGTTACCTGCCCGACTCTGCCGTGAAATTTCTATTATTGATTGTGTGCACCGGTAGTCAAAGGCCCAAAGTTTTATTTTCTGGTTGTATCGTTCAAAGTTGAGGTCTGCACAGTAATTGTAGCCTCAAACACACACACCTGTGTTGTAACGCGAACGTTCACCTATTCTTCCAAAGTGACTTGCGTAGTCCAAAACAAAACGGTTGCTCCGAGTGCATTGTATTCCTTGACCTCCTCAGGACGCTCTGTTTTGCACATCACCAACTGCTCAGTCCTCTACTATCTCCATATTAGCACCTCCTTTTGACGCTTTTACAAACTTCGTGTTTGGAAACTTGCTTAAATCTGCCAAGAGCTGCGGTGCTCCAGTGGAGGTCCAATCTAACAAACTCGCACCAGCCACATACTCGGAGTGTCTCGGGTGCAAATCGCACTCTTTCTTGTCTGTTAAGACGGCTCAAAACAGATTTTTACCTCAAACCACAATAACGTTTCCTTGAAACCAAACAGCAGTTGGCTTATCTTACCCAGAATATCATTTTATATTCTTTGGGTCTTTCGGTAAAGTCACATAGATAGGTTCAAATTAATAATTAAAATTTAAAAAACTACGACGTTTCGATCACAACACAAGCGATCGTCATCAGGAGGAAAAAAGAGTCAGACTATCATTATTTATTATTCTCTCTATGCTTGTTTATCCAGGAAAGCCTCACTGAGTCCCAATACTGTTTCGTAGGAGGGTCCTGCTAAGTATTAATCCGAATTGAGTAATGTGTAAGTAATTTTTACAATTTGGACCATGATGCTGATGCACAATAACAGCAGAGGCTCGGGTATCGTGGAATCTTTAATGTCCGCTGGAGCAGACTGGGCGTGTTTTTGTTTTACGATGCAAGCGCAGTATTAATCAGGGCGGCCGTTGGATTAGATCCCAGAGCCTCTGCCTTAAGCATCGAACACATCACCGCCAGGGCACATCAAAGCCCTAACAGTCTAGACGTTCCTATAGTTCCC